AGTCGTCGGGTCTTGCACCCGAGGGAGAGTCTAGCCCTACTTGCTATACCCGACACAAGTTTTCTTCCATGCAACCATTCGACTCAAAGGGGATTTTCGATCCACTTTTTCCCAAACCCACATACCAACCACCAAACAAGGTGTTTGATCAACCATGCATCTCACACACCCATACTCATGACTTATGCCCATGAATGTGATGCCTCTATGCACAATGATACAATGTTCAATATGTTATGAATGACATATGAACAATCTCAACATATCATGATAAGTTATGTTCTAAGCATATAGATACCATATTTGTCACAAATTCAATATATCATAACATGCATATACCAACAATTGCATTTCCAATCATAAATCATGTCATAAGTCCATAATTTCACTTTCATAATCATAGGCAAGTGATATCACAACTTTTAGGCTAATAACACACCTAATCATTAAGGCATAATATAACACATAACGGCCTATGTAATAGCCCACGTAACGGCTCTTATTTAAACCACAAAATAGCCCATACAAACCACCATATAACAGCCCGTATATAGCCCACAAAATAGCCTAAAAATAGTCCGCAAAAATAGTCCAAAAATAGTCACAATTTCAGTCCATAACATGGCCTAAAAATAGTCCACAATTCAGCCTTTTAATAGCCCCTTAAACAGCTCAAATTCAGCCCCTTAACAGTCCCTAATTAGTGCACAAAATAGTCCTTAATTAGTGCACAAAACAGCCCTAATTAGTGCGCAAAACAGCCCCAATTTCAGCACCAAAACAGTCCATGAATGTGATGCCTCTATGCACAATGATACAATGTTCAATATGTTATGAATGACATATGAACAATCTCAACATATCATGATAAGTTATGTTCTAAGCATATAGATACCATATTTGTCACAAATTCAATATATCATAACATGCATATACCAACAATTGCATTTCCAATCATAAATCATGTCATAAGTCCATAATTTCACTTTCATAATCATAGGCAAGTGATATCACAACTTTTAGGCTAATAACACACCTAATCATTAAGGCATAATATAACACATAACGGCCTATGTAATAGCCCACGTAACGGCTCTTATTTAAACCACAAAATAGCCCATACAAACCACCATATAACAGCCCGTATATAGCCCACAAAATAGCCTAAAAATAGTCCGCAAAAATAGTCCAAAAATAGTCACAATTTCAGTCCATAATATGGCCTAAAAATAGTCCACAATTCAGCCTTTTAATAGCCCCTTAAACAGCTCAAATTCAGCCCCTTAACAGTCCTTAATTAGTGCACAAAATAGTCCTTAATTAGTGCACAAAACAGCCCCTAATTAGTGCGCAAAACAGCCCCAATTTCAGCACCAAAACAGTCCATTTGGACAGTCCTTGGACAGCCCACATATAAACCAATTTCAGCCACTAAAAGCCCACTTAAGGTAAAAATAAAACCAAAGTAGGAGGGAACCCTACCTCAATAGAAGTGTAAGAACTTCTATAACACCAAATCAACCTCAAAGCTTTGATTTTTCCCAAATTCTCATCTTGGATCTTCAGTGAAAATCCACTCTTTTTGGTACGTACACGTAGCCCTCGTCGAGGAGATGAACTTTGGCTCTTGGTCTGAGTTGATCCGAGCGACGGAACTCCGAGAATCGACGAAGGGGGATTTGTTTTCTCCCTTTTTCTCTCCCTCTTGCTCTCACACGTTGGAACCAGCTAAAATGCAGCGATCCTTTAGCAAAATATCTGATTTAGCCCCTATTCATACTTTCCAATACTTGGCCCGAGTCGCGCCACGTGTCCCTCACTGATTCGGGTCCATTTTTGCCCCAAAACGATTTATTTTATACCGGTTTAAGCTCAAAATATTTTATATGAAATTTATTTAAAATATTTTTCAACTTTCAAAATTTTTATTAAAATTTCATTTTTGGGAGTCACCAGACGCGAAAAACTCGACTATCTCGAAATTCGACGAAAATTAACAGAGCAGCTAGGTTTCGTGATGCGAATCCAACGGTGAGGTCCATTGTCCCATCCGAGCTCTATAAAAATATGTATTTTAAATACGCATTAGGATGACAAATTACTATTTTGCCATTTTTTTTTCAGAAAAAATTCAAATTTTTCCCGAGTTTCAAAGTCAAGACCTCAATGTTGGCAATATTGTTATTCGTAGCATAAAAGACTATTCAAGGCAACGAGAATATAATGTGTTAGCAAAATTGGGCAATAAATAAATAAAATATGTTTTGAACATAATAAGCTATATTTTACTAAGAGAGTCCAAATACATCACTACAAACTCCTATTTGGATAGAGAATGCAATATATTATAGGTCCTCTCTTTCATGAAACTAACCAATGAGAATACTCAAGTTTCAAAAAATCTATCCCCTTTGGGCAGATAAACGTTTTAAACTATTGCACCTCTAATACAATGTTTTATGACATATCCAAATTTTGGCTAGTAATTCTATATTATAATTTAGCCATCCCGTAACAAAAGCATGAGAAAAATCTAAAAATTTTAATGAATTACCACTTTGGTGGCAACTGCTACTACTTTAGAATTGATCACTCAAGTGCAGGTTGTGCGAAGTAATATAATACTCAGAAATCTGAGGTCGAACCACAGGGAATTGTGAAAATTTAGAACACAAAGAAAAATAAAAGAAAATTGCTTTGAAAAAATTGTTGTAGATATTTTGAAATTAGAAAACAATAAATTTGATTTTAAAACAATAATTGAAAATACTAAAGCATCGAAGATACACTTTTAAATCCACAAGACAATTATTAATAATTTAGTTTTGAAACTCAATTGAGAATCAGCTGAGGAGTGATCTCAATAAAAATAGTTAGCAGTGATAATATGAAAACATCAAAAGTTATAATTAATGAATTATTTGAATAAATATAAAAATTTACTTATAAATCACAAGCATTCACCGTACCTGAAGTCTACTATAAATCAAACTTTCCAACTGGTAAACCTTATTTTATTACTAATAATAAATCAATTATCTTATGAGAAATTCTAATTAATTATTCAAGGATAGAATAACTGCTTATTTGATTTGAAGGGAATCTCAAGCATCATTAATTCAAGGATGGAATAACCGTTTTGTGACTCACAGGGAATCTCAAGCATTCGATGTACATTGCACAACGAATTAAGAAATTACACAAAGCAAAAACTTTATTAAAAGACAAAAATTAAATTAAAATAATAAATCATACATTAAAAAGAACATTGAATCAATAATAAATATCATGCTTCATTGAAAGTATCTCTTCTATTTTTAGTTGGGCTTTTAGCAAGTCAAAGAACTAGAATAAAAACAAGAAAAGAAAAGATGTGAAGAGAATAATAATAATCCAAATCATCCTTTCAGAACCTTTGTTTATACTAAAATAAATCCTAGGTATAGGTAAAAGATATAAGGTTGGATTGAGAAGAATTATTTCCCAAAAAGAAATTCTTTTCCAATAAGGTTGGATCCTTTTCTTCTGGGATTCTTTCCTAATCCAACTTTAAATGAGTTTTCTTCTAATTTAGACTTTTATATGGATTAAATTTCTATATTATCTTCAAACTTTCCTATCTTAATCTTGATTCTTCAATCATTATCAATTGTGATTCTTCCTCTAGTAATTACTTCACCTGTCTTATCCATTATTACTTTAAGTCAATCAATTTACTTGCAAAATAAACCAAACAACTAGAAAAAGTATCAAACTAGAAAATCAAGGAATTTAACACATTTAATCACAAATAATATGCAATTAACCAATCATTAGACATAATAAAATAACACTTTTGTTGGTTAATCGGCAACCATCTTAATCCATAGAATTTTCTAAACCAAGATATTATAATAAATGCCCATAATTAAATATCATGTAATCAATCAATATAAGGTACTAATCAACATTTACATCTATAGATCTCTCATAATCAATCGTTGCATTTAAGTTTTAATTTTTTTTTACTATTAAAATTAAGTAATTTAAATTCACATCTATCAACATTAATAAATAATATGTAGATCATAAAAAATATTTCATCGTATAAATCACAAGGGACTAGAATTACAATTGTACAAACACACTATAAATTATGGCAATTCAATCAAGTTGTATTAAGATGAGAAAATAATTGATTGCCATCATTAATTTGTATGAAAGAAGCTTGTATCTATTTGTCAACAAGATCCATAAATAAGTAATAAAAATATAATAGATTGACCCATAAATAATTTTTAGGGATTATAGCTTGTACCTTTGACTCAAGGCTTAACCTGGATTTTATAGGGTTGTACGACAAGGTCTTTGCCACGATTTTAGCTCTTGGATATGTTAGGTGGTACACTTAATGTTTAGCCAAATCTTTTTTGGATGCTAGGATCTCTCCTCAACTTCTTCGTTATGTCTGTTTTACAAGGGTGTGATGAATATTCTTCTGTGATTAAGGCAACGTTCCCTTCAATTCGGCCTTATCTTACTTTCTTGCTTGTTGAAGGGCTTCTGTAGGGGCTGTCTTGGCGTTATGCTTGGTCACGCTGTTGAATTAGCAAATTTGACATCTTGGCTTACTGAATCAAACACTATTCATTAGCTCAATTTGACTATGATGGACATTGTTTCTCTCACGTGTTTCTTGCTCATGTTCCTGATCACGTGTCTGAACTAATAAACTATCTCAATTATGCACAATAATTTTTTTTCCCCTTCAAAAAAGAACGAGAAACAAGAAGACCCTATCATTGAATGCCATCAATAGACACACACACATACACATCAATCATATTGTTGTTGATCCTGACCAAAAAAAATCTTAATGTTGTTGATTACTATCTAGTTGGACTATGTAATCTACGATAAAACCCAACGCACACCAGTAGCTGGCCATGGTTGGATGCTTAAAGAATCCAAGGACAGTCATATGATTGGGGGGTGGAATGGTTCGTTCAACTCAACTAACTCCAGGCACACCGTAAAAAATTAATTGTTGGTTGTCAAGCATAACAAAAACTACAGTCAAAGCTGAAAGATCTCTAGGCGCAGAAATGGCCCAAAAAAATCAGAGAATAAGGAATTGGGGGGATTGATTGCTGAGATAAACAGAACAGCAAGACTCATTGATACTTGTAGCTTTTCATTACCAGTTGAAGCGGCAGGATGTATACAATTAATGTATCTCAGATTTCTATCCCCAGTCTTCCACAGCCGAAATGTGCCAATTGGTTTCTACAAAGACAGCAGAAATTCAGAAGATCTGACCATCTGTTAGGACATGCAAATGAATTAGTCCACAGAAGAAAATTGATGAGAAAAGGTATATTTCGTAAAAAGTTTATTGAACTCTGGCATTCGTTTTTTATCATCTCTAGTCTCACGTTCACCTTGCTCCCTGCAACACTGCCAATCCTTCACTCAACATCATCTGCGTTGGACTAGCAGCAAAACCTTTGGAAGATGTTTTTCCAGAACCAGACACAATATGGTCTCTAAGATCTCTAATCATTTCATATCTCCTGATCTCATCTTCATAATCTTTCTTCTGAGCTTGTGAAGCAAGGTCTAAAAATATTTCACCCTCTACTCCCTCTAAACTTTCTTGATGTTTAGTGCCAAATTCCCATTTGATGCCATTTGAATCTTTGCTTTCCAAGGAAACACCTCTGTGTTGAGTTTTCTCAGAAATAGATTTCCTCCCCTTGATTTTATCAAGTGGAATCGTCTTTGGATCATTTGGAGCAATTCCTCCACACGCATAACTCCATTCATAGCTCTTTCTGCTGTTGTCCATATTTAGTTCAATGGATTGAAGATCACTATCAGCCGAATCATCTCCTCCACACTCCTCTTCATTTACTACTTCCCCTTCATCCTTCTCTATCCCACCGTTTTGACATGACCCTGAAATTGTTCTCTTTAAATACTCTTCAAGCTCTTTGATTCTGTCATAGTTTGGAGAGCCATCATCTTTTTCTCCCCCCGCTTTGGTTCTCAAGTAGGACTGAAGCTCACTTCTAAGCTTGTCCACAGCTTCATTTTTCTCCTCAAATTGATACTTGGCTTCCGAAAGCTTCATTTGGACTCTTTCCTCTCTTAACAGATCAGCTAGTTGAAGCATTTCCCTTTCTTTTTCCACCTCTTCACGAACTTTAGCAGATTGTTTCTTTAGTTCTTCCACCTCGGTTCTGTCTTCTCCAATACCTCTGGCTAACTCGTCACAGACTTGCTCCAATATCTCTCTTGCCGTCTTCTCGCTCTCCAGGTCTTTGACTGCTTTTGACAGGAATGCCTTAGTATTTGCCAATTCCTTGCCAAGCTTCTTGTTCAGTCTCTCAGTTTGTCTTCTCAGTTTCTTCTCGATTTCAAGCTCTCGTGCTATGGACATAAGGGCATTGTGAATTTTATCCTGTTCTTTAATTTTCCAAGCTGCCTTTTCTTCTGCAAATTGCTTCAAGATGAAATCGATCTCTTTATGGTTAGACCCTTGTTCTTGGATTAATTTACCGACCTCTAGACGAGCTCTGTCAAGCTCAATCTTTAGTGCTGAGACAAGGGATAAGCTTGTTGAATGTTGATGCTCCGGACCACAAATGCGATTTAGTACCTTCACAAGCTCCTTACAGGTGGTCAGGCTGTCACGGACATCCTTTAAACGGGTCTTAACTCCAAATGTGCATCCACTTGGAGTCTGGCCACATGTTTGAGGTTCAATCTGCATAGCCCAAACTTAAAACAAAGATCAGTATTCCTTCATTCTAGTGTTGGAGTAAAATACTATAGGTTAGGACTTAGGAGTTTATTAAGCCTCAATTAGTCCTGGGAAAAGAAAGGAGCAACGCAGACATATAGCAAGAAACAAGTATTTCAACATTATACAAGATGAAAGGTGTATAGAAATACGCAAATGACATGCTGGCTTTAGTGGCACCCAAAAATAGAAACCTCATAGAAAGCTAGGAGAGGATTGGAGCATTAGCATTTAGATAGAAAGTGGAATTTCTCTATTCCTCGATTCCCTTCAAACTATATGATAAATGCCTGTGAATATGAGTATCTCACAGCATAGTAGTAGCAACAGGGCTGAAATAGCTGTTGAAGCACTGGTGTCTGGTTTTGTAGAGTTGAGGTTTTGTGTTCTCAAGGAAATTAATTGTGAGAATTTCAATATTCACAGCTAATTAGTTCAAATTCTTTACCTTGATAACTATGTGCACCACTGAATGAGTAAACAACTTAAATTGTGTGGCTTGCGATGCTGTAATCATCTGCTAATTCCAATTGTATCATTGACTCATAGTCGATTACGTGCTGGCATGATATTTTAAAGATGTGGAGGGGTGAGGGGTTCAATACTCATCACTGCCATTAGGGAAAAAAAAGAAGAACGGAACAGCATTAGCTACCTCCACTATACTAGCATTGTGGAGAGACTTCAATCCTCCCAAATTATAATCAGTGAGCTGAAGTTTGTGAGAAGCAACAGATGCTCTTCTGCAGTGACCAGCCCCTTTAGATGGATCCATTCTCTGCTAAGCTCAACAAACAGAAAACACAGTAATTTCATTTAAGTCTGCACACTTAAGCTTCCAAAACATTTAGAAAACAAATCTAGATAAAAGTTAATCCTAGCAAGAAATCAAGCCCACCTCTGAAACAGGACTATGAGATGGATCATCTAAATGCTTCACAAGCCCTCTGTTCCTCATCTTCATCTTATTTCTTTTCTCCTCCAAATTTTCTTTTGTATTGGGCGGAGGAACCTCATTGATCTCCCATAAAGTAGCAGCCAATTGTCGCGCTGAAACCGACAACAGATCTTTCCCTCCACCACCACCCTTCACAGGCAGATTCTTCATTGATATTTCATTTTGCAATGAAGGTGATCTTGAATTCATCTTCCAAGTTGGCACTGGAGTGCTTGACCCTCCTCTCTTGCCAACCAAAATCGCACGTTTCAATCGATAATTCTTCACAAATGAGGAAGAAGACGATGATGAACACCCTCTCTTTCTGATCTTGCACTGCCCTACAATCCTTCCCTCCACATTCAAGTTTTGCCGTGGCATTGATCAAACTAATAATGAATATCAAGGCTATGAATCATTACAACAAACAGAAGTTATGAATCTTACTAAACATGGAATTCCTTTGCAGGCTTTACGTTCTGCAGATCTAGAACTATAAAGTGGTGGTCATCATCAACTTTATTGGCATCCTCAAAAGCTTTAGTTTCATACTGTGACAAACATAACTGTCAAAGATTGTTCTAATGCTTTATTAGTCAAAAAGAACAAAAACCCAAGAAAATCAACTTGTTCAAAACGTACCCTCAGTCATTTGTACTTGGGTAGAATTGGTGGTATGCAAATTAGATCTTAAATTAGGCTTTGCTTTGTTTCAAACTTCTATAGAGCGGAGAGAGAGAGAGAGAGAGAGAGAGAGAGAACTGTCGAAGTTTGATCTTGAAGTTTGGTCGAAAAGGAATGCAGATAGGAGAGTTCAAGAGTGAATCTGTTTCTTTTTCATTGAAAAGGAAAAGTTGAGGGGGAGAGAGATTGAGACAGAAGAGAGGGGGCCGGGTTGTGTAATAAAGACGGGAGGAGGACGTGGCGTACACGTAGCATATTGGGATTCAATCAGGGACGTGCATGTGTAAAAATGGTCAGAATCTTGACTAGGTTCTGCGTATTTATACTTTTACTCCGCTAATTTCAGGTCCGGCTAAAACTTAAATATAATTTTTTGCCAAAAATTCCTTGTAGTTTCTTGTAATACCTACATAGCAATCCCCTACACTGTTAAAAATTGACATTTCTCATAATATTGTGACCGACTCCCTCAGGAAAGTCATACTCCAGTAGATTAACGTGAATTTTATTTTATTTTTCATTCTTTATTGAATATGAAAAAATTACCAATTAAATTCTTGTCTAATGAAATGCTGAATCTCATGAAAACTGAGGGATTTTAAAACCTAATTGAGGTGTCATCGGTTACATGACTAATTCAAGCTAATTTGGCGATCTGTTATAGAATTGTTTTTACCCTTTAGCTATATTGGCCCTGCCGTTATTTTAAAGGAGGTTGCATAGCCAAGCATATTAAAAAAATATTTATTACACCGGTGATAAACATGGTAATGCTCATGTAATATCATTAATTAATAATATTAAAATAAATAAATAGACTCCACAAAAATTAATAATTAATCTTTCATTTAAACAAATAACTATCTACTTTTCATCCATGTAAGCCAATAATTATCTAATTAGAGTTTACTTTGTCTATTTAATATTTTATTACTAATTGGTGATACTACATCAGCATTATTAACATGGTATCTCCGTTACATTAACTATTTTCTCTAACATAAGGCCATAAGAAAATTAGTTGCCGGTACTCCTATTTATCATATGTAGAACAAAGAAAATTCTTAAATATTCCATAAAGCGCAAAGCAATGTTTTTACAATCATTGTCAGATTGCACACTTTTTTTTTTTTTAATAGTCAGGAATGTTTGGAACAGTTTATGCTCATTTTGACTAATCTATATGTGATTTGATAAAAAAAAATAGATTATCTACGCTAGAACTATCGTATTCATGAGGTATAAATTTTTTATTACCTGATTGACAAAATTTAAATTGAAGACATCTGAATTTACGGATCATCTTTATTATTCACTCTTTCAAATATATGCTTTGTGGATATATGTTTGAAACATGAACTAAAACCTATGGTTTTTGCTTGAAATTTGTAAAGCTTTAATTTTGTAATTTTTATTATAGTTCTAGTGACACGTAGCTCTTGCACTCTTGACAAATTAGTTCAGATTATGAAATATTTTTAAGATTTTGAAAAACATATGATAATTACTAACACTTTCCAAAATTTCTTTCAAGTGGCATTAAATTTTTTAATTACTAACATTTTCTAAAATTTCATTCAGGTTTGAATTAAAATTTTTCTTTATCATAAATATTGACACACCTAGATATTTGGAGATCTCACAACATTGGGGCTACGAAAGTGAATATCAAAAGAAGCAGGAGCTCTAGATAAATATGCCATCAAGAAGAGAAGGTACAAGATGTAGTAATAAATGCTCACCATATTTTTTTTTAACTGATAATTGCTCATTATATTACCGCTGCCAATGGTAGTACTTTCATATTGATCCAATCAGGCAAGGCCACGGGGTCGACCCCCCTAACGTCTCAAAAGGTTTCGGATTTGTTGGGATTTCATCGCTGTATCCGTGAATCAGCAATTTCTACAAAGCACTACATCGCGATAAAAGTTGGACCCACCACATGCCCTTGCCACATGATGGAACTGAAAATTTGTCCAATTCATTGAACAATAAGGAGATACAAGGTGTATTTGGATGACAGGATAAAGGAGTATAATATATATAGGATTGGATTAAAAGTAATTGTTTTTTACTCTAGTTTGATTTTGGTTTAAAATATTTTATCTATTTGACGTTTAAAATAATGCACATTATCACTTTTTAATTATGTATTAAAGTGAAGCAATTGACATTGTTAACAAAATTAAAAAAAATTATCATAATATTTACATTTAAAAATCAGATTTTTTGTCTGATTTACTCTTGACCATAAAATTAATGGAACATGACAACAAAACAATATAAATTTTTCAAACATATTAAGTCTATTTTTCCTTTAAGTGAGGTTTTGATCTAGGCCGAAAATCACTTATGTTTTTCCTACATATTTTTTTATTTTGGATTGATGCCCGACCTATTTTGATATTATACCACATATAGGCAATATTCTTTTAGAGAGAAATAATAGAAACAAAGTCTACAATATATTTTGAGTGTGTGGAACATACTACTCTCTGTTAACTTAGATGATAAAAATAACTATTTCACTTTGGCACATAACTACAAAGAGATAATATGTATAATTTTAAACTTCAAATAAGTAAGATGTTTATAGCTGAAACTATAAGGAGTAAAAAGTAATTAACCCTAAAATATATCTAGGTTCATTTATTCTATGCTTGGAAAGTAAATTTGAGGGTAGGTAACCCAGTCTGATTAAATGCTGACCTAAAAGATGTGTTTGCGTGACATGGTTGGACTGGATTGAAAATCTAAAAAATTATTCTTTCCTATCCAATCTAAAGCCACTTATCATTAATCCAATTAGGATTTAATAATTATATCCCATCATTTATAGGGTTTGGATAACATATAAGTACTTTTATGGGACCAATGGAGAAGAGTGATGGAATATGATAATGTTGACTATTTTGCCTCTAACCTATCCAATCTAACACCATGTTTGATTTATAAATTAGCCTTTGACTAATTTTAAACAAATTTTTAAAAATGTTATAATTTAATATCTTCTAAACGGGTGTTCGTATATTGTGAGGACTATTGACTATTGAGAATTAGCTCAAACTCTCATAAAATATTGAATTTATTATATGTTGTTAATTAATCTTAGTCCAAATAAGATATTAATTTATAAACGTTAGTTTATTATTTAAATTAGTTGTCTTGTTGGAGAAGACATCTTGATCTTCTTAAGATATACAAATTTTTTGAAAAAAAAATCAGATATGTGAAAAAATAGGAGGAGGAGACAAAGTAGACGAGAGAGAAAATAATAGAGCAATTTGGTCATTTGCATTAGTTATCTAGTCTAGCATAAAAAATCCCAACCCCCTTGAATTTCATTTAATCCATATAGATAGGTTAAAGTTGACTTTTTAAATCGGATTGGGATAAAATTCAAATGGGATTTCTGATGTATTTTTTATTTACCAAACTAGAGATATATATGCCCCACATATTTTTTTATCTTATTCTACCAGAGTTATCTCCCTTTAAACCGTGATCCAAACATAATCAAAATGCATAGTGCAAATAAACATACCCGAAATGCATAGTGCAAATAAACCCTCTTAACATCAACTGGGGTTTTCTTTTAAGTCCTCCCGTTGTGGAGGTTTTCCCTTTGTCCTTTCAAAGTCGTCTTCTTCCTAGGATCTCCTGTTAGAAGTCATAAAATTTTTTTAGGGTTTCTCGTAGTTTTAAGTCAATACCATAATCCTTTTCTACTCCTTTTTCCCCGAAATTTTGTTCTTTCATTTTTCGTTTCTATGATCTACCCTCTTTTGTTCATGTTGTCGAATCCTTCGTTTTGAATCTTATGCCTTTCGGGTTGTCATAATTTGTTTTGCAGGCTTGAATTGAGATTTTTAGGAATTTTGCAATCTACTTTTTTTCAGTTCTGTACGGTGCTTTTGTTTGTATGGTCTGGATATACAATATTGAATTTCAAGCTCTCTAAAGAGGAGTAGATGGATTTAAGCATTGCTAATTCTACTGAAGTGATTTTGGGTGAGAAGGTTAAGTTATGTTTACTAGGAAGAGTCTGGTATGACCGGTCCTTAGGACTGCTTTCAAAAACACAATGAAATTTTTTTGGAATGTTTCTTCTATTATGTTTAGGGATTTTTCTAACGATGAGAGATAAGAAGAAAATGGCTGAAGGTATGCCTTGGTCATTTGATAACAACCTAGTCCGTATGACGGAATATGAAGTAAACATTCAAGCATCAAAGGTTGTGTTCAATAGGTGCTCTATCTGGATTCAAGTGTACAACCTACCCTTTAATAACATGAATCATGCTATGGATAAAATCATTGGAGATCTCTTGGGTACACACATTCAAACTGGTTTGAACTTGAGAATGTTGGGTTGGGGAAGGTTTTTACGTATCTGAGTCAATCTGAACGTTACTAAAGCCCTACTTCATGGAATGAATGTTAAAGGCACTAGGGGTCACTCATACTTTATTTTTCAAATTCGAGTGCCTGCCAAACATATGCTATCATTTTGGTTGCTTCGGGCATAAAGAACGTGTTTTTCAGTGCATTTGGATTTTCTTAGTTCAGAGTATTAGGCACCACTGCAATATGGAAGCTGGCTAAGAGCAGGTGGTGAGAAATTCATGAAACAACCCCCACTTCATAAGAAAGATCAAGTCATTCACGCCGTCGGCGACGAGCCAAACACGAAAATTATAGCTGGTGACTGACCGTCGGATAAGGATTGTGAAACTTATTTAGAGGGATCGGATGACTTGCCAAAATCTATGGAAGAGATTGACCATGATCCCATGGTCTTAGGATTCACAAAATTTCAGAATGTCGCTAATGTAGCAGTAATGGAATGAGAAATTCCAGGGTCCCATTTGGCTTTTCCAAAAACTACTAATGGTGGAGAATCTTCTAGTGATTTCCTAAATTCAGCAGGAATGTACTCCATTTCTAATAGAGCCATAGTAGACATACGCACAGAGAGCAAGCCTTTTTTTGACCCAAACTTGGTCCTCAATGATGAGTGTGGAGCATTGCACATTTAACAACTTCATTGCATCCATTTTGACTTGTTTTGTG